AGAATTACATATGCACCTAAAAAATCATTGGAAAAGACTTTTTTAATGTTGAAAAATACTTTAATTGATCATCTCGATAACTAGATATATGAATATGAGAAAAAAAAAGATTTTGAGTCCCCAAAATAGTTCATCTTACAACACATTATCTAGACCGTACATTTTCAAGATTTTTCATATGTTTATAGATATACTTGATTTTAACTATTTTCGGAGTTTTAAACTTTTATAATTAGATATGAAAATAGATTTTGAACTAATCCTCATAATTTTTTACACCAAAATTACATGTTATGATAAAATTTAGAGATGCACCTTAATTGGATTGTTTAAAGTTGCAACCTTATAGAAACCACACCTCTATATTATTATTATTATTATTATTATTATTATTATTATTATTATGTTGGGATCCAATCTTGTATTTCTTGAAATAGCCCTCAAGCCGAAAAGCCAAGCCAAAGTAGTGGATCCCTAATATTTCGAATGATTGTGGCCTTGTATAAAAGATGAATGCTCATATTGCGTATTTTCTTATTTTATAATAGTTTTTGGTGTATCAAGGGATACTACCATTTAACTGTATTTACTTTCTAAATGACAAGTATATAATGAGATCATTTACCTTTGATACAAGATGATCATAATTAATCTTGACTATTAGATGTGAAATTGGATGACTGCTTTGTTCTATTGACCAAGCTCAAAATTCAAAACAAATTTTCTTAAACTCTGTGACATGCTAAAGCTATCATATTTCACATTGGATGGTTACGGTCTTATTGTATACAATCCTTTTTTTAAAATAGATTTTTGGATATGGATTTTTGATTTAGTTTTGGTAATAAAAAGTCGCTTTTGGCAATATTATTAGTCGATAATCTCACCCACTACAATCATGAATCTGATATGAAAAGTTTAAAAGCTTTATATTAAGGGAAAGCTTTCTCTGTTCCCCCTACAACATAGAAGTTCTATGTTCCCCCTCATCCAACCGTCCATTTTTAATGGAGGGCTAAGATTGCTCCAATCACAATGTCACGTCTCTACACTGTTTTATTTTTAATTTTTTTTATAAACGATTTTGACACCAAATTTTGGATGTCCATTCCTATATTAAACTCTCATTAACGAAAAATATAAAAAAAATATTTTCAATAAAATAAAATGACCAAAATACCCTTAAAAAAATTCAAGGGGTATTTTGGTCATTATTTTTATCGAAAAATTATTGTTAATATTTTCTATAGGTGTGCCCCAATGAGAAGATAGCACGTATCAAATTTCATATTCAAAAAATTTGTATTAAAAAAACTAAAAATAAAATACTTTGAAACGTCGGATCTAAGATCAAACGATGAGTGACTCTCTTGATAAAAAATGGACGGCTGGGTGGTAGGGGAAACGTACAATTTCTATGTTGTAGGGGTAACATACAAAGCTTTCCCTTATATTAAAATGCATGCTCAGTTTTCTCTACCGAACATCAAACCAACACTATTTTGGAACCACAAATTCATGTATCAAATAGAAATGCATTAGCCCCAAAGGGAAAACTCACTATATTTCTCCACCCATATATATTTTCCCTACCTCCCTCATTTTCTAGCCGTTCGATTTAAATGAACGGTTGATGTGGTGTCAATCCTATTGTCTTGCCTATACACTACTTTATCTTTAATTTTTTTCTACAAACTATCTCCACTTCTCTCTTAAGCACGCACCTGCAAAAAAATATAAAAAAAATATTTCTAATCAAATAAAATGTCCAAATACCTCTAAAAATTTCAAGAGGTCTTTTAATTATTTTATTTTTAAAAATATTTTTAATTTTTTTAAGTGTACCCTATTAAGATAATGATACGTACCAAATTATATATTCATATGATTTGTAAAAAAGATTAAAAATAAAATACTTGGAGATGTCACGTTAAATCTAGATCAAAGAGCGAGTAGTACACTCATCATATTACGGCTGAAGCCAGCCATCTATTCAGATCAGATGGCTCGGAGACTAGCGAAACAAGAAAAATATACATGGATGGAGTAAAAGTAGTACGTTTTCTCTATCTTAAATCCACATAGAACAAGGTGTTGAGAGTGGCTGATTCGCTAGTGGAGGAATGTAAACTTTTCCTCCCAAAATTCTCTGTTCATCACAATGGACTTGCACTTAAACTAGCGAAAAATGAATTAAAAAATGGTAAACTAGCACACAACAGCAAGTTTCCATGAAGAAAACATGGTGTCGTGCAGAAGAAAACCCTAATAAACTTGTATTTTGTTTTTATATCTGATGTCCTCCCTATATAATTATGTATTTTGCTTTCGTTTTTGCATAACAATGTATTCACCCTTTGATCAATAAAATTTCATGATCTTGCCAACAAAAAAAGAAAAAAAAAGAAAAAGCCCTAAACTTAATAATAATGGGAAAGTATGTAATGAGACCATTTATCTTTGGTAAAAGGTAGTCACAATTATTTTGATTACTGGATGTGAAATTGTGTGGCTGCATTTATTTCATTGACCAATATCAAAGTTCGAAAGAAACATTGTGTGACCTCCCTATACCCTAAATAAATGGTGGCATTGTAGTTCCAATAACAAAATTAGAGGACTTTGTTTTTAGGATGAAGTTTCTACAAGGCTTAGGCTTTAGGAAAATAAAATAAAGCCTCACCTCAAATCCTCATTTGGAAAGCACTTTTGGCAACGGAAATCTCCATGATGGATCTAAATCAATTCCGAACACTGACAATACAAGTTGAAACTCAAAAAATAGTACAAATCTTGTGGATCTATGAACACAATTTTAGGGTGAAATGGACAGTCCACATAATTTGTTATAATATATATGATTTTTAGATCTTAAAACCCTAATTTTTTGACAACTAATATGTTCAAGCGTAGATGATCAATGTAAATGTTTTTTAATGCTTGAATTGTAATTTTTGATGAATTATGAGTTGAGGTTTTTTTATTTTGATAGGGTTGCGGCCCTATCAAACCATTTTCCTTGTTTTTATGGGCAATTAAAACTGATAGTGTGGTTTATACGAGGTTTCCATCTCAAATCATTCAAGTAATCCGCACCTTCAAGCTCTGTCAAAAAATTATTATGAAATTTAAAATACAAATAGAAAAAATCTAATAAATTTTGAAAATTTTGAAAATGGACTATTCAAAAAATATTCCATAAGATGTACTATTTTTAAATTTTGAAATATTTTTCATATCCATTAATCTCGAAGCCAAAATAAGTAATTGCAAGACGTTTGAACTTTATTTTGTGATGGATTTTTTAGTGACTTTATACTTCTACAATAGGTTAACACCTTATATAAAAATTTTCCAAACTAATAGGCATTCATCTCAATGCCCTGGTGGCCTAATCATCTACACAAACACATGCTTTCCTCACCATCTTTGATTCCCTTGATAATGTTTCAAAAAAATAAATTTCTTTTGATCTCTTTACCTTGTACCTCAACAAATAAAAAAATATGTGGGTGAGATTTGCATAAGATGCACATCTTATACCATACAACTGAGTTGGACATTTAATTTTTAACAAAAGATGTAATTCTAGTGTCGAAAACCTTACAATAAGTTAAAATCCATGTTCAACCTAATTATTAAATGGGCGTGGTTTGTAAAAAGTGTCAACCTTAAACAATCTAATTAAAGCACAACTCCAAAACTCATCGAAATATGTAATTTTGGTATCGAAATTTCAATGATCACCTGAAAAAAAATTTACATCTAATTATGAAATTTAAAATTCAAAAAATAGTACAGATCGAACAGATCTACAAGCACATGAAAATCTTGATAATAAACGGTCGAAACAATGTATACAAGTTGTACCTTTTTGTGCTATAAAATCTTTTTCTTTCTTTTATTTTTTTCATATCCATGCATCTTGAGGTCGAAATGATTAATTAGAGTTTTTTTTTACCATCAGAACAACTTTTTCTATTAGACTTTTGAGATATTCTTTTTTTTTACCGTTTAAAGTTGCAATCGTATATAAAATTTTTCCTTAAATATAAAATTTTAAAAGTGATACAATTGCAACAAATCTATAAACATTTAAAATTCTTAAAAATAGACGGTCCATATAATTTGTTCTAAAATATACTATTTTTTTTAAAACTTGAAAAAACAAACGTCTTCATATCCATACATCTCAAAATAGATGATCAACTTAGAAGGTTTTCTAAATTCAAAACAATTCTTTTCTACTAGAGTTTAGAAGTGACCCTTACGTCTATATTATAAGGTTGCAACCTTATATAAACTTATTCCATAATTCCCAGGGGGGCAGGATTGGGAGGAACCTTTTTTATTACTTATAATTATTTTTTCTCAAGTCAACGTTGGGGCGACTTACCTTTTGGGTAGCCGTTACGGTGGACTGCCACACCAACTAATATTTTCTCCCCTCTAAATCGTCCATGTTATGATGGACCGCTTAGAAATTTATAATACCCATTCAAATGATGAGTTATAACGTATGAGCTACAAATAATGTCCTTCAATTACCCCCTACATCCTCTCTCTCTCTCTCTTTCTCTCTCTCTCTCTCTCTCTCAAATGCAGACAAGGTTGGCAATTCAGAGTTGAGACCATCTCTTTTGTTCATGGCACCAGCAACCATGTCTTCTCTACTGAGAAATTGTGTACCTTTGGGAGCCTTAAACCAAGGCAGGCAAATCCATGCCAACGTCCTCATCAATGGCCTCATGCCCAATGTCGTTCTTGAAACCGATCTCATTATAATGTACTCAAAATGCGGCTCAATCACAGAAGCACAGCAAGTATTTGAAAGTATGCCTCACAGAAACATGCACTCATGGAATTCCATGATTGCTGCGCATGTTCGCTGTGCACAGTGGGATCAAGCCCTCCAAATTTTTTCGGAGTTTCTAAATTTAGGATATCAACCAGATCATTTCACGTACCCATGCCTATTCAAGGCATGTGCGGGCCAAAGAGCTCAATTCAAAGGCAAGAAGCTACATAATCATGTGATAAAAATGGGTTATGACAGCCATTTAATTGTGAGCTGTGCAATCATGGATATGTATGCAAAATGTGAGAGAGTAGGAGATGCCGAGAAAGTTTTTAATGGCATATCTCAAAGAGATATCACATCTTGGAATGCCATGATCGCTGGTTATGATAGAGCTGGCCTCTCTTTGAAAGCCCTAAACACCCTGGTGGAGATGCAAAGGGAAGGAGTGGTGATTGATAGCATGACCATGCCAAGTGTTCTGAGTGCATGTGGGCACGAAGGCAACCTCCTGCAAGGCAAGGCGATCCACTCTTGGGTGTTCAAAAATGGGCATTTCTCAGACTTGGTAGTAGCAAATGCTTTGATCAATATGTACTCCAAATGTGGATTTTTTGATGGTGCGAAAAGGGTCTTCTTAGGGGTCGCCAAGCCTAATGTGGTTACATGGACAGCCATGATCGCATGCTATGGATTTCATGGTATGGGTAATGATGCTCTTGCACTTTTCAACAAAATGCAAGCCGTTGGGATCATGCCAAATTCACTCACCTTCACAGCGATTCTATCGAGTTGTAGCCACTCGGGTTTAATAAGTGAAGGGCAAAGAATTTTTGCATCAATGAATCAGGATTATGGTGTAAAGCATTGTGTTGAGCACTATGCATGCATGGTGGATCTCTTGGGTCGTTATGGATGCATCCAAGAGGCACTAGTGATGATAAAGAAGATGCCCATTGCTCCTGAAGCGAGTGTATGGGGAGCCTTGCTGAATGCTTGTAGAATGCATAAAAACGTGGAGGTGGGAGAATATGCCGCTCAGTGGCTTTTTAAGTATGAGGGAGCAAACACAAGCAACTATGTGTTGTTGTCAAGTATCTATGCAGCTGCCGGAAGAAGGCTCGATGTTTTTAAGACCAGATCAAGAATGAGAGAGATGGGGCTAACAAAGGCACCCGGTTGTAGTTGGATCATAGTCCAAGGAATAGTGTACAGGTTTTTTCAAGAAGATCTTTTGCATGCTAAGGCGAAGGAGATATATGTGGCATTAAGGAGCTTATCTCATGTGATGATGATGGTATCATGACAATGATGATGGTGAAGATATATCATCATCATGGATTGTGATGGTGATGACAACACCACTAGGCCTTCTATGTATACACATCAATTCATGTGTCTTAATAAATGTACCATACTGTGATAATTAAAGTAGCCTCGGTTGACAGCGGTGAGAGTGGGTACACCAGAGTGGGCAGGGCTTTGGATGCCTCCAGCCTCAAGGCATGTGTATGGGTTTACGTAGTATACATTTGGGTGTTCGTGGGCTTGTGGCACCGACATCGATCCTCGGAGGCTTTATCCAGTGCGAAGATGTCTTCCCAGCTTCCAAAGGGATGAGCAACACAGTAGTAGCAGACAAAGCCCCGTAGCCTGTTCAGAAGGCTATTCTCCACAATTGTAAGTGCCATATTCAACTGCTGAAATATATGCACTGCATAACTTATTTAAACACATGAAAATGATATGTAGAAGTCTTTATCCTAAAGCTATACTTTTTTTAAAGCAAAGGATAACAAGGATTTCCCCCTTTTATGTATATATATATAAGTCTTATAAATTCCATTTCTGAAATGATATTCTGAAGAAAAGTATGGTGCAAAACTCAAAACTGAGAATCAGCCATGAAGGGAAAAAAGTTGCAAGAAAAAGTAAATGACAATAAAATGCTTCACATTTAAGGCGTGATAGCGAGCGGGCTTGCTATATTCTCATCCTAAAGCAATATTTTCAGTGGATTCTTCATGTTCCATTAATGCTAACATTATAAGCACAAGGACTTCAAATAGGCATCAGCGACCCAGTATTCATGATCCACCAAAACATGTTCTGAGATCAGTTGAAGAGAAATCAGAGAAAGTTTCAGTAAATGAATACAGAGAAATAAGATGTATATATTTATAATACAGCTTTGTTTTTTCACTTTTATTTGGGACAGAAACAAAAGATTTTTGCATTTTAAAGTTCAGTAATAGTTCGATATAAATAGTCATAGAAACTAAATATGCATTTATATGCTGATGTATCTCTTGCACAAATAAAGTTCCCAAACATGCTCCATTCCCTAATTCTTGAAGACCTCTGAGGACTTAAACACCCAATCAAATCTCCACTCAGTTTTAAAAAATTATAATATTCGGAATTGTCAAAACAAGTACCATAATGAGGAATAATTCTTAGCAAGGGAAACATAATTTATGAGATAGTTTTGGCATTTCCCAATCACAATACAACTTAAACTAAGAAGAACACTCTATTTTATAGGATCTTGTCTGCATTCAGCGAGAATCACCAAGCTCCAATCCACAACAAGTAATGCATAATAGCTTACAGATGACAATTGCACACAAGTCAAACTCAACAGCAAATCTCACCACATTATGAACAAGATTCGATTACACGAGCAACACCAAATGGTTCTCAATTGAGAATTTCCGGAAGCTGGCATGCAACAAGCTGTCATATAGTATGGAGTACTATGGACTATAGATACAATTGGAACTTCCATGACAGCAAGTTGAGATGAAAACCGGTGTCCTTGTCATTACAAGCACTTGATAAGGGCCCAGACAACAACAGCCAGAACCACAATGGCAATGACAGATAACATCAAGCACATGCAGGAGCAACCTCCCTTTGTTTTCTTATTCAGGATGGCCAATCTCTTCTGCACCCTCTGGTGAGCTCAAGCAAATAAAGGGCACGGAATCAGAGATCAAAGGGAATCTATAGAAAGAAGTCATAATATAACTACCAAAATGGATGAAGATATAATTCGCAAAAGCTAATAATTATATCAGAAAATAAATAAAACCCAAGGACCATAGACATCCAAGCAGTAACACAAACAAGCATCTGCAAGAAGCTACATAAAAAAATCTCGAGAATGGGTTGAGGCCTTGGCAGTAAAACTGCTGAGCCCTGTAATGAAGTCTCGAACTCCATTCTCACCAAAGGATAGGGGCCCAAATCCCCAAATCCCATTTTTATTCACCAAAAAAATATCTAAGAATTAATATATGAAGAGAGCAAAAAAAATACCTGCAATTGAGAGCCCGTCGAATTTAGAACTTTGACAAAACTAAACATTCTGATCTTCAAATAAGAACTTCCTAGAGAGAGAGAGAGAGAGAGAGAGAGAGAGAGAGAGAGAGAGAGAGAGAGAGAAGTAGTAGTAGTAACGTAAGTAACTATATAACTACTATTATACGTACGTACGTACGGTACGGTAGGTACGGTAGGGTACGGGTCGGTACGGTACGTTACGTACGTA